GAGCCTTGAGCCCACGATCTGGCTGGCTCTCAAACTTGGAGGCTTCTTTGAAGGCCTTTCAAATGCTTAATGAGGCAGCGTTGCACCCCAGAGGATGCATCTCTTTGTAAACCGTGCCTGCCTTCTCTTCCACATCTCTCCCCACTGCCCCATTCCCATAAATTCTCCTCAGTTATTCACAAAGCAGTGTCTGGAAGGAAGAGGCAATGTGGCTAAATTGGGTATTCTGGGAAAAGGAAGTGTTTTCTGTCACAAAACGGAGGATGAGGGAGGGTTTGTCGCGTGAGCTCCTTTAGTACCTTGAAGCCCTAAAGAAGGGCCAGTTTCTTTTTGAAGTGGATTTAAATGAGAAGGCTCCTCCTGGATTGTACCATGTCAAGTGGCAGGTAGGGGCTCTCTGTTTTGACTGCTTCCCCACTGAACCTCCCTGAAGACAGAAAAATAAAATTCATGTCAAGGAGAAAACTGGGCTTGAACCCTCCTGCTTGATGTGCCAGTCGTCTGTGTCAGGGAGTTCTTGTTATGGGGGGAGATGAAACCCTGAAATCACTCCCCCCATTATATGACTTGCAACCTGAAATGGTAGACTCCAAGGAAAACTCTTCTGCATATAGAAACTGGTCCAGAATAACCAGTGTATTGGGTGCTACACAGACTGAGAGCCAGTTTGGTGTAGTGATTAGGAGTGTGGACTCTAATCTGGGTGAACTGGGTTTGATTCCCCACTTCTCCGCATACAGCTGCTGGTGTGACCTTGGGTCAGTCACAAGTTATTTCAAAGCTGTTCTTTCAAGAGTAGTTCTCTTAGAGCTCTCTCAGCCCCACCTGTTGTGGGGAGAGGAAGGGAAGGAGATTGTAAGTCGCTCTGAGACTTTGAGTGAATGGTGGGGTATAAATTCAATCTCTTCTTCTTCTTCTTCATCCCAGAAGATGTGATGATGGTCCCATTTCAGCCTTCCCAAACCTTTCTGTGTCACTTGTGATCAGATTTGTTCTTCTTTCTGAGGTGCTGTTTTAACTCTTCTTCACCCACTGTTTCCCTTCACATTTGGACATGGTTTTTTCCCCACGTGCTTTTAATTTTCCCCAGGGCCCAAGCATTATTTTTCTGGGTCTAGTAGAAATTTGTAACACGAGGCCCATCCTGTTGTGTAACCTCATGAATCATGAAAGGAAAATGTCTGGGTTTTTTCCTGCACTATCTTAAACACCTGATATCATGGTGTCAGGCTTGCAGGCTGAACTAGGGGCTTTTCCACATTCCCCCCCCCCCCCACACACACACATACAATTGGTTCTGGCTCCATAGTGCTTCATTTTATCCATGCCCAAACCGATTGCAATCCTTGTGGATCAACTCCCAAGAAAACCAGGAGTAACTCCAGTGTGTGGAAAAGGTCCAGGTTTCCCTAGGAGCTGCCAGGAAGAGCTAATTAGCGTCAAGATGCCTAAGTAACTGAGCAATAAATACAGCTAAGACTGGAATAACACATTAGGTATGACATGTAAATAGCAGTAAGCTGGTATGCAGATAATAAAGGAGTTAACAATAGATGTGGGAACTAAGTTTGAGTCCAGTGGCGCCTTTAAGACCAACAAAGTTTGATTTCTGGGAGGTGTGTCCAAAGGTTAGGGTTGCTAGCCAAGTATCCTCCTAGGCTGAAGGCAGCGTTTCCAAATGGGTGCTGCTCCCTGCAGGCCCTCCTCCTCACTTCTGAAGCTCCTCCAGTCCAATGAAGTGGCGGAGAGCCAAGGCCAGCTCTTGGCTCTGGGGAGGAAGAAGCGGCAGCAGGGGGGGGGGGCACCCAAAAACACATTCAGAACTGGAATCTCCCACCTGTAGTCTGCTACCATGGCACAGCCCAATTCCAGTACTTCTACAGTCCACCACCACCCCCAATTTCCCTGAATGTATAAATAATGGGGGGGGGGGGGGGGGGGGAGATTCTCGAGTGTTAACTAAAGCACATTAGAATACATCAGCAGATATCTGCCAAGGAGGGCTCCTCCTCTTCCTCCACTTCAGCATTTCTTTGGTACTACCCATGTGCTAGGTATTGTTGAAAATGCCGAATTGATTTGAACAAGACAAGGACTGGGAGGAGCCGGAAGAGTCAAGGGCTGATTGATTAATTGTTGGAACAGGGGTAAGAGAAATGTCGAGGGGACTGTATATGAACCCCCCCTCCTTTCAAAGCACTGGGGATCAAACAGTGACATGACCAGCTGCTATGTAGACTGCAATCCCCCCTTGTTAATTAGAATATTTCACACACACACACACACACACACACACACACACACACGTGTGCTGGCTTGCTCCCTTTCAGTGATGCTGTGACCTGCAGACAGCCTCTCAGTTCCCCTATTGGCTGTGAGAGATGCTGAGGGACATTACGGCTGTAATCTCCTTCTTGCATCCCTGCTGCCGGGGAAAGTGAAGTGCCTGATCAATTTGCCCATAGAGATTCTGTCAGGCAGCTCTTGCTTCTCCTGCTCTCCCCCCACCCTCCCCGGACACATTAAGTTTCCCTAATCGGAATTGGATCTGGCTGTCATATTGCCTGGGTTGGGGGGGGGAGGGTGTTACCTAATAAAACTCTCAAGGAGAACATTACTCCTAGTTCCTTACACGTAGGTCAGTGATGCACTACCAGACAGCCCGGCTTCTCCCAGGGAGAGCTTTGTGACTGCCTTTCCCCTTTCTCCCATCGGATGTCAGCGTTATGGAGCCCGCAGACCTTTTGAGGCCTCCCAAGGCAATTTTGTGCTGATTGCAAACTTATGTAGAACCAGGGAGGAGTGAGCAACCTTGGTTCCAGTCGGCAAATAACCTGGTAGGTCTGGATTACTTCCAGACCAAGGTCTCCCTCGCTAAACTGGGGCAACAGCCTGGGGTAGACTGATGACGTTGGTCATTTTCGCATGAGTTATTTGCCGTGGGTTTGATGCTGTTGTGAAGCAGGGTTCCTTCCCCAGCTTCCCTATAGCATTGTGGTGCACTCATGCCCCTCTTGGGGTTCACCCAACTTTTCTCTGGTCTTGCCCAAACTGCGTTGCTTTGGAGTAGGTGGGAAAGTTAGGGTTTTCACAGTGCTACCCACTTGGCAACCAGTTTCCCTGCCCTGACCCCACGGCAGCTATTTCTCCCCCTTTTTATAAATGGCAACTGAATATCATTATATTGTTGTAGCGATATAACACTTAGTGTATCACGTTCTCTGAATTACCAGCTTTCCTTTTTTAAAATGTATCCCCTTTTATTGAGGACATATAAGGGTAAAGGCTTATGTCCACAACAAAGGGAGCTAGAGGCTTACTTTAAAAAAGCAACCATTAAATCTGGGAATTCATGGTTTCCTCTCATCCATTTTACCCTCACAACAACCCTGTGAGGTAGGTTTAAGTATCTGTTCCTCCAGGGCACCCACTTACCCAATGCAGCAAGATGGTCAAAGGTATGGTCTGCAGGCCTTGATGCAGCCACCTTGCTGAAGCTAAGCAGATCTGGCGCTGGGCTCTTTTTGTAGCAGGAACTCCTTTGCATATTAGGCAACACACCCCTAATGTGGCCAATCCTCCAAGAGTTTACAGAGCTCTTCTTACAGGGGCTACTGTAAGCTCTTGGAGGATTGGCTACATTAGGGGTGTGTCACCTAATATGCAAAGGGGTTCCTGCTGGAGTGTTCAAGTAGAACACTGCCTTTGGCCCCCTGCATATATCACCTTGAGTACCATATTGGAAGAAAGATGGGATAGAAATGTGATGGATTAATGGAGGAAAGGCCTAGGATTCAAGCTGCCCAGAATCAACATGAGTTGCAGAAGCCAGCTTCTTCTCTTCTTCTTTTTCTGTTTGTTGTTCCTCCCCTTCCCCCTCGGACCTTTATGAATGTTGGATCTTGAAAGTGAAGCAGGGTCAGCCCTGCTTAATACTTGGATGAGAGACCATCAAGGAAGTCCAGGGCTGGTACACAGAGGGAGGCAATGGCAAGCCACCTCTGTTTGTCTCTTGCCTTGAAAACCCTCCAGGGTTGCTGTAAGTCGGTAGTGATTTGACAGCATTTTCTACCACATGATCTGTAATGCCTTTTCCAGCATAGAAATCCTTCACATTAAACATCCTGAGGGCCAAAGCAGATGAAGCATTGGTTTTTTCTGCATTCTGTTTCTTTGGGGGTGGTTTGTTCCACGTGTGTTTTGCTCCATCTAGTGGTTGATTTGATATTACTCTCATGTATGTCTGGCGTATCTCCCTGCAGATTTAAATGCACTCTTCTCTTTGGCCCGATGGTATGTGTCAATTTCACACAAGCTGCTGCGCGGCTGCATTTTGCCTCGCAGCTTCCTGCTATTTTCCCCGCGTCTACTCAATCCTGTTTTTTGAGGACTGAGTAGACGCGGGGAAAATCGCACGAAGCTGAGGGGCAAAATGTGGGCGCGCAGCATTTTGACACATACCATCGGGGCAAAAGGAAGGAGTGAGCACGGAGTAGCACTTGTGGGAAATCACCCTGTGTTTTTTTATGCCAGGCATAAAGCAGTGTAATATCAAATAGACCACTGGAGAAAGCAAAACACATGCCGAAGAGGACCCTTCCCCCTCCAGCAAACAGGAACTTACAAGCAAGGAAAATGAGGATGCAGAAAATCCCACTGGAAGATCTGTTATGAGATTTTTCCAGCTTTTTAAAACAGAATTGCAAAGAGAGGGTGCTTGTCCAATCTAACCAACCCCCCCAGGGACAACATTCATTTATCCAGCCTCTCAGCTAGTTTGGCCCTGACAGTTAATACAGATTACTGGTCTTCTGAATTATTTGGTTGAGTGAGACTGCTGAATGGAACTGGGTTCGGCTATTTGGGAGAGTGGAGATGGGTAGGTTGGTTTCAACTCATTTGGGTGACTCTGATGTCTCTTTCGGGGGTCTTGGGCATTTCCAAAACATCAGGCTGAGATTGGCTGACCATTTATTTTCTTTGTGTTTTTCCCCCCACAGGGGAAACAAAAAAGGTGCTGAAATCATACAGCTCTCCAAAATTCTCGCCGGCCGGTGGCTCACAGAATACTGCTGGTCTGTTGCCTCCGCCTCCTCCCGTCCCTCCAGGCTTTCAAGTTCCTCAAGATGACAGCGCCCAGCAAGCGTAAGTGGGGCTCTGTAGCGCCTTTGTAGTTTATCTTCTAAAGGCCTCTTTTGATCCTCCTGCTACTGTATATTCAGAGTATAAGCAATGGAGGATCTAAGGCTGCTTACACAAGAAATGCCTCGATCCGTTTGGGGTTTTTTTTGTTTGTATGTCTCGATGCCATCAGCTGTTCACCTTTTGTGCAGGCTTGGAAACATTTGTGCATGCCGTCTTCTTGTTTGGGGGTGGCAAACAGGTTCGACTTGAATGGGTCCCTAAAATAGTTGCACGGAACACAGGAGAAAATATCAGCAGGTACAGCAGGGTGCCGCATGATGGAGTGAGCTCCCGTCTCTGGCCCTAGCTCCTGCCAAGATTCGACTGGCTTTCGAGCAAGGGAACCGTTACCTTTACTTTACAGCTTTTCAGCTCCCTGAATGGAAGCTGCTAAACCAAACGGCACCCTGTGAAATGCTTTCATGATCCCATCTGCTTTGGCTTACGGGCCGGTGTGGTGCCGGGGTTAGCATTTTGGACTAGAATCTTGGAGACCCAGGTTCAAATCCCCATTCATGCCATGAAAGCTTGCTGGGTAACCTTGGGCCGGTTGCAGAGCCGCAGCTTAACCTACCTCACAGGGTTATTGTGAGGATAAAATGGGGGGGAGCAGCCTACCGCCTCTTGCAGGCCAGATCCCAGTATGGACCCCAGGAACAGCCCTGCTGATCTGCACTGTGCAAACACAATGGTGGCAGGAAAGTATTGCTTCTTTGCTGCCATAAATGCTGGGTGGTCCCTCCAGGTAGGGTTGCCGGCTGTCAGTTGAGAGATACCTGGAGATTTTGGGGGTGGAGCCTGAGGAGGGCGGGGTTTGGGGAGGGAAGAAACCTCAGCAGGGCATAATGTCATAGACTCCAACCTCCAAAGCAGCTGTTTTCTCCAGGTAAATGGATCTCTCTTGCCTGAAGATCACTTTTAATAGCGGGAGATCTCCAGATGCCACCTGGAGTTTGGCAAGCCTGCCTCCAGGCCTGGCTCATGGGCTGTCAGGAGGCATCTGGCCGGCTGCTGTTGGAAGCAGGAAGCTGGACCCATGGTCTGATTCAGCGAGTCCCTTCTTAGGTTCTTATGCAAAAATAATCCCATGCATACTCATGTTGCACAGCTTGGTAGTGGTGGCGGATAGTGCTGTCAGGTCACAGCTGACTTAGGGCGACCCTGTAGGGTTTTCAAGGCAGAAGACATTTAGAGGTGATTTGCCACGGCCTGCCTCTGTGTGGCAACCCTGGACTTCCTTGGAGGTCTCCCATCCAAATGCTATCCAGGGTCATAAGAACATAAGAGACGCCAATGTTGGATCAGGCCAAAGGCCCATCCAGTCCAACACTCTGTATCACACAGTGGCCAGAAATACCAGTTGCCATCAGGAGGTCCAGCAGTGGGGCCAGGATGCTAGAAGCCCTCCCACTGTTGCCCCCCCAGGCACCAAGAATATAATGTATCACTTGCTCCAGACCAAGAGTTCCTATCTGTACTTTGTGGCTACTAGCCACTGATGGATCTCTGCTCCATATGTTTATCTAATTCCCTCTTGAAGCCGTCCATGCTTGTAGCCGCCACCATCTCCTGCAGCAGTGAATTCCATGTGTTAATCACTCTTTGGGTGAAGAAGTACTTCCTTTTATCCGTTCTAACCCGACCGCTCAGCAATTTCATGGAGCGCCCACGAGTTCTTGTATTGTGAGAAACGGAGAAAAGTGCTTCTTTCTCAGCCTGCTCTATCCCATGCATAATCTTGTAAACCTCGATCATGTCACCCCTCAGTTGTCGCTTCTCCAAGCGAAAGAGCCCCAAGCGCTTTAGCCTTTCTTCATAGGGAAAGTGTTCCAACCCTTTTATCATTCTCATTGCCCTTTTCTGCACTTTTCCCAATGCTATAATATCCTTTCTGAGGTGTGGTGACCAGAACTGTACACAGTACTCCAAATGAGGTTGCACCATTGATTTATACAGGGGCATTATGATACAGGCTGATTTGTTCTCAGTTCCCTTCCTAATAATCCCCAGCATCGCGTTGGCCTTTTTCATTGCGGTCCCGCACTGTCTCGACCCTACTTAGGGTCGACCCTACTTAACGTCTGACCCTACTTAGCTTCTGAGACCGGATGAGATTGGGCCAGCCTGGGCTATCCAGGTCCGGGCGTTGTACAGCTCACACCCAGTTTTTCTTAATTGCACAGTTTGGGTTGCCTCAGCACTCTGTTTTTAATACTTTCCCTCCCTAACTCTGAAGAAACGTATCCCTGGCTGTGGCACTCTGGCTCCGAAAAGTGCTCAGTGCTCGTCATCTGACCTACAGGTATGAATGATTCACACACCTCACCTGTAGTTGTGGGGCCAGGCAGGCTTCACCACGTCCCAGGATTCCTTCCTGCTTTCACACACCTTGAGCTGGGCCGAGCACGGCAGCTGCAGCCCTTCTCCCTCCGTGCTGACTCATCTTCCAATCAAGCCAGGTGCTTAGAATAAATTAAATTGCCTGCAGTCCCCTCTGGCACCCAGACGGCATATCTACATGCGTTCTCTACCGTCTACAGGAGTCGTCTGATGGATCGTCTTTGAGAGGGGGGTGGGAAGAATTTCAACTCTACCTTCTACCTACTTTGCACTTAAAAAGCCACAAATCATGCTAAGAATCTGTGTCTTGCTCGAAGGGAGATTTCTCGCTTAATAGGGCAGGCCTCCGCACAAGTGCCCAGCTCTTTAAGTAAATGGACAATTATCATTCTAGGAAAGTAAATCAATCCATTAGGGAAATATCAGCTGACTCCATCCTTTTTGCTGCCCTCACGAATCCCACATTTATGAAGAGGGAAAACGTTGTCCTTGGATCTGTGCATGAAATAATTTCGGTGTCATTCTAAATTTATGGGCAATTACACAATAATTGGCTGCTCTATTGGAAATGCATTTTGTTGCAGAACAGATTGGGGCAGGGTTGGCTGGAAAGGGAAAGTGGCCATTTGTTTCCCCGGTGCCCTTGTGCTGTCGATGCCATCAGCTTCATGCTGAAGTGGGATGCTGCGCCCTCTAGGGATGGGAGGACCACAGTGTTTGTGACCCTTCACGGAAATGCTGAACCTCAAGTTTAAGGGATGGATGGAGAAGACCTCTATTTCTGCATTCCTTTTTTTCAACAGAGTTAAGCTAGAGACGCTGGTGTCCTTGCCTGGCATTTGCTGGCTTGTTTGTCGTGTTGTGGGAACACTCCCCCCCCACTTTGTTTTTGCTGAACTGGAAGCTACATATTTACAAAAGCTGCCTGGAAATTCCGGAACGAAACTGAGACTGATTCCACACAGATGCTTTTCTCAGCTTTGGCATCCAACCTGGAACCATGTTTTTCGGAGCATCCACATGATATCATCCTCTAATTATCCACATTCCAGCTATTCCCCATCCTTGCTATGCTCTTTCTTGAACCTGGTTTACTATAATCTTTTTGGAAAGAGCACAGACCAAGCTTGTTCACACACTGTCCGGATGGGAAGGAGCACGTTTTTGAAGGTCCTACTCACATTGCTACCATTTCCCTTCTGTCATCACCTTGGGCTGCCATTTTCATTGCCATGCCACTGTAATTGCTATAGCACTATATCGCTATAGTAATTACCTTCTTCTTTTTTTTTTAAAGCCCTTAAAAACTCCTCCAGTGGTGTGGTGGGGAAAAATGCAGGGGAAATGGCGGCTAATGGAGGAGAAGGCACAGAAGATTCCTACGCGGATACTCCTTTGCCTGTACAAATGCCTCTGCGTTTGCAGCAGCAGTGAATGCCAAACGGAAAATCCTCAGCCATGTTGATGCAGCCTAAGACTGCTGCACTCAGACAACAAAACACAGTTGGTGCTACAACTCAGTCCTAGCTCCTCCTGGGCCTTTTGGATCAAATCCTCAACCGCACTAGCAGCTTCTGAAAGTAGTTGCACTGACTCCCGGTGCTGCAAGGCTGCTGTAAAGCTGCCATAAAGCACACTGCCGGCACTTACAGCGAGACACAGAAGTTGTGGTGAAACGTACAGCTGTTGCTTTAAATGACTAACAGCCAGTTGAAAACCAAAGTCCTGCCTGCTGAAACGTAAATACACTATAACATCATATTGCCCTTCAGCTAATTCTAATGCACTCAGAATGAAGCAAACAAGACATTAATGGTTCTAGGGGAGGTTTAAATGGTTCCTAATAGCACAATCATCAGAGTGTAAAGCAGTGGAGTACATGTGTGTGTGTTGGGGGGGAGGAATGAGAAACTTTTGCAAAGGGCTGTATAATGCAAATAGCATATAAATGAACTACTTAAAGCCAATACTAAAACGAAAACAGATTCTGTATTGATTTGTCCTCCATTTCAGATGGTCCACACCCCAAGAGCCTCACTTCACTGAAATGGGAGCCTGCTTTGCCTCCACTTTGTGGTATACATCTAGGGTGGCCAACTACCTGGAGAAAAAGAACATGTCTCTTTAACAGAGGCTTAATAAGTGGAAATGGGAAGCTGAAGTTTTTTGTGACTCAGGGGTTGAGCTCTTTTCCCACTGAGTTGGTGAACATATTCCCAATCCTCCAAAGCATGCTTTTGGAGGATTTGGAGGGGTATCTGGGCTGTGCACACTGTATCCCTCTTCCCTTCCTCACTTTCTCAGCAAACCACAGTTTGGATGTCATGGCAAAGTATCACCTGCTGGGAAAGAGGAAGTGAGTGAGGGAGTCCAGGTTTATGCAAGGGATGGGTAGAGGGCATGAGCACAAAACTCAGGCATGAACAACATATCCGTGGTTTGGCCATTATGTGTGAACTCACTCACGGTTCTTCTTAGGGTTGTCAGGCCGTGACTGGCAACCTGCTGGAGGCCTGGGGCCAGGGACATGGGCAGACCCCGATGTCCTGTATGCTGCTATGTCACTTCTGGGGAAAACCTGAAAGCGGCATAGTGCAACTCTAGGAATCACTGGAAACTCTATGACAATACCACAGAGTTTCCAGTGAGTCCTAGAGCTACACTATGCCACTTTCACCACAGAGTTTCCAGTGAGTCCTAGAGCTACACTATGCCACTTTCAGGTTTTCCCTAGAAGTGACATAGCAGCACACAGGATGCCAACCTTTTTTTCCTCTGGGTGGGCAAGAGCCTGGCAGTCCTTGTTCCTGGTTCAAGGTCTTTTGTCAGCTTGAAAAAGGCACATGCCTCTTGTCCTGGGCATGCAACTGTGCCAGCTGGGTTCTGTGCTGAGCCCCTCTGGCTCTGACTGAGCCCATGGTGGTGCAGGCTGCATAGATGATGCAGTCAACTCCTGTGCCACTGGGAGCTGGGAGCAAGCAGAGTCCCTGGGGTGCGCTGGTACCCTCCTCCCTGTGCTAACCACTTGGATGTCTTGGGCAGCGAAGCATTGCTGCTTCCTGGTGTGCAGAGGAGGCCTGGAGTCAGTGAAAGTTCCCTTGTTTGCGCACAGTAACCGGGAGTGTCTCACGGTGGCTGGCACCCTTCCCCTTCTCCTTTTCAGCTTCTCTTTCTGTCTCACACATTGTCAGAGCAGGAGAAAGTGGATCCAAAAATGCAGGTGGCAGGTGGCAGACAGCATCCATTTATATGTGAGACTGGAAAGGGGAGGGACGGGGATGGCTGTCACCGCCAAAGCAGAAGTGAGGCTGAAGAATGGTTTCCTAAACGATGCCGGAGCTCCTGCCCGGAAATGGACTCGGCTCATTTATTGAAATCACTCAAACGTTCTGACAGAGGCGTGAGCTGGACGCAGCCCGGAGTTGCTTCGAAAGCTGGAACTGTGCCAGCGAGGGGGGAAACTCTCCAGCAGCAAGTCCGGCTTGAGCATTAGTTGAGCATGCGAGCATTGTTACGCCGGGCTTGTGGGACTCTGGGTATGCGTGCATGCATGGTGCTTTCCTGCCGTTTTTGCTGGTCACTTTTTCTGCAGCTGCTGAACTGGGAATTTGCCCTGGGTGCTTTGCCCCGCCTGGCACGGCTGCAGAGAAACAGTTCCGAAACAGTCTGACGGAAGCAAACAAGGCCTGGCCGTGTGAGGGGAATGGAACAGTGGCATTTCATCTGGAATTTCACAGGGTTTTTGCGGTGCCAGATGTAAGGGCTGCTATGTGAGCGCCACAACAAAACAGAAAGAAAAGAGCATCCTTCTCTGCAAGTATTCTACCCCACCCTTTCTTCAAGGGATGTGCATGGTTATCAATTCCCCTATTTTACCCTCACAATAGCCCTCTAAGGTGGGCTAGGCTGAGAGAGGATGAGTGGCCCAAGGTCATCCAATGAGTTTCCAGAGTGAACAGAAATTTGAACTTGGATCTCCCCAGTTCTGGTCTCGAACCACTGTGCATTGGATGAAGTGAGCTCTGACTCGCAGAAGCATATGTAGGAATAATGCTGCTAGTCTTATGGGTGCCACTGGACTCCTGTTTTATTTCACTGCACCATCAAGTGGCTTCTCTGGCATGCAGTCGGAGGTGTTCTAGCTCTGGAAGGGAAAAGCCAGGCTTCTAGGAAAGATAGCACGCCTCCCCTTGTTCTGTACCTTCTAGCCTCTGCGTCCCCAAGTTTATTTTTGTGTGGTGTTCCTCTCTGAGAGGCGTTCTTTCTTCCTTTTAGTATTTTTTAAAAATGCCATCTTTGCGTCCTAGTGGGCAGAATGCCACCCATTGAACAGCTATAAGCAAAACACAGCAAAACAAAAAAACCTAGGAGCAACAATAAAACTGAAGTACATTTTTGAAACCCTATAGGGCCCGGCACGGGTGGTACACAAGGCACTTGCATTCTTTTCGCTGGCCCCGTTTAGGTAGGCACATTGTGAGCCCAGTGAGGGGGGAAACACCCTTTTGCCAGTCTCTGTCTACTCTTGAGGTGCCGATACAGAAATCGCCCTGACTGCACTGCAGATGGAAAAGGGGTGAAATGAGTTCTTGTGTCGATCCCATCATATATCTTCATATTAACGCAGACACATGCGCACACACGAAGTTTCCTTATACTGAATCAGACCATTGGACCATCCAGGTCAGTATGGCCTACTCACACTGGCAGTGGCTCTCCAGGGTCTCAGGTAGATGACTTTCACATCACCTACTACCTGATCCGTAACTGGTGATGCCGGGGATTGAACCTGTGACCTTCTGCATGCCAAGCAGATGCTCTACCTCTGAGCCATGGCCCCTCGCCTAAGACAAATCCTGGGCCAGGGGCAGGATGGGAAGGGAATCAAGAAATGGCACTTTCTTGTATTTCCAGCAACAGCCTGCTCAGAAGAACACTGAGAGGCAGGAAACAGGAGAGTCCTGGGCCAGAGTCACTCTCAAGTCTGATTGGTCTTCATGCTTTGATGTTTCACAGATGTACCTGCACTTGCTACCTGGAGCCTCCCGAGGCCTTGGTGCCCCAGCAACAGGGCGATGATTCCCTGCAGACAGCCAAGGGGTCCCCGAGAGAGATCCAGGCCTTCCCCACTCTGCCGTACGACCGCCTCTCTGCAGCCTCGATCTCTGTGTCCCTCAACGACGACAGGGAGACGGTGCTTACCCCGGATGAAGTGGCTGAATACCTGGAGCTCAGTGAGGAGGCTGAATGTCCAAGGTAAAGGTGGACCCTGTTTCCATGGGCCTTCCATGCATTCTTCCCTGGTTGCTCTGTTTTCCAGCATAGCCAGTTGCCCCTGCATCCTGTTACAGGAAGGGTCCTCTATATCAACCCCTCCACCCATCACAATCCTCAGTGGGTGGCTAATGGAGGGAAGCAGATAGGGTTGCCAGTCCCCAGGTCCTGGTGGGGGTTCCTCTGGTTTTCAGGGCTTCTGCCCGCTGCCGGCCAATTGGCCAGTGGGGGAAACCCCGCCCCCAAACAGCCACACCCCTGGGTGATGTCCCCAACTCGATGATGTCACACGGAAGTGACACCATCACGTTGCCACTGTCCCGGGGAACACTCTGGTTTGAGGGCAAAACTGTATGGCAAATTTGCCCTCAAACCAGAGCCTTGCTGTGTGACGTCGCCAATGCGATGTCTTCTGGGTGATGTCATCGCATCGGGGGTGTTGTGCGATGTCCCTGCCCCCCCAAGAATCCTTCTGGGTGATGTCATCGCATCGGGGATGTTGTGCGATGTCCCTGCCCCTCCAGGAATCCCCCCCCCGAATGCCGTCGCTAGTGACCAGGTATGACCTGGCTTTCCTAGTTGCCGGATTTGGATTGGGGAGTACCTGGAGATTTTGAGGCTGGAGTCAGAGGAGGGTGGGGTTTGGGGAGGGGAGGGACTTCAGTGGGGTAGAATGCCGTAGGGTCCACCTTAAAAAATGGGCATTTTCTCCAGGGGAACTGATGCCCGTCACCTGGAGGTCAGTTGTAATCCCAGGAGCTCTCCAGCTACCACTTGGAGGCTGGCAAACTGTAGTGGTGGACAAAAATTGTGCAAACTGTAGTAGTGGACCAAAAATTGTGCATTGGCGAGTAAAGCTAAATGTAGATATTAAGAAGGCTGCATAACTTGCTAAAGTGACTGCGTGGGTCTATAAAGGGCAGCCCAGTCTCCAGGTTATGATTTAGTATATCCCCCCCTTCCCTTTTTGACTCACACAGATCCCTTGTTTTAACAACACAATAATGAGCTGGTTGTCTCTTCCGTCGTTGGGTTAAACAGCTTATTTCGGTTGACAAGTAAAATGTTGCAAAAATGTTCTCACAGTTCTCTTAAGAATAGTTACAATTTCACACCCACCCCCCAATTTATAGAATTTACAGTCTGTTTCTCCTGGTAAGAGAGATGGAGTGATTTTTTATCTGGGAAAGGCTCACTAAGCACTGGGATCTCTTATCTTTTTACTTACTGCCTTCACCATACTGATAAAGATACAGGAACTGTGGACCTTATCTGTTTAATCCTCACACTCCCCCAGTCTGGTTACCCCTTGACGCATTAGACCCTGGAAGTAAGGTTAGCTGGTGTCTCAGGATTCTCTCTGGATGGTCCTATACTGGGATGTTAAAAACAACTTATTGTGCTTTGTTAATTATTAAGTAGGGAATGAAAAAAAGAGTAGTCTAGAAGATGATGGTAAGAAAATAAAAACTGTTACCTATGGAATAGAATATAAGAAAAAAGGAGTTAAAACAATATTTACTTATTAAGTTTTGTTATGGAGGAGGGGATGGAAAAGGAAAAGAGATTTGGCGGGGGTGGGATCACTGTGGGAAGCCTGAAGGAGGGAGGGAGAACAAGAAAAGGGGAATATTGGGAAATGATGGAATGTTTTAATATTGGACATGTTGGTATATCCTGATAATAAACGGGTTTGTTTTTTTAAGTACCTGGTCCTATCCCTATCCGATCCCTAATTCTCTGTATATCTGCCTGAGTCCTAACTGATGACTCCGTTCCTCATCTTCTAACCCCCCCTTCACAACCTCTCACAGGTCCTTTCCACACTAGACCTTGAGTCCTGGTTCAGCCCTGTCCCCAAACTTACATTCTACACTACACGCGAGTTCACCCCTGTAATTATCTTTGGGTATTTTTACATTCTACGCTACACTCGAGTTCACCCCTGTAATTATCTCGGGGTATTTTCTGTTTCCACATTACATTGAGGTCACCCCAGTTTCGCCCCACACTTGTCCCGGGATAAATGGATGCTGTTATAACCAGGGATAAATGCAAGGTATTGTGCCGCGAGTTGAACTCTGATAAAACCAGGGATGAGATCCAAGTGCGGAAAGGACCACGCACACAGAGGATCCAAGGCCTCTCATTGGTTGGGAGTTCTGGGAATTTACACACACCCCAGGGGATTGGCTCTGACACCTGGAGGGTGGCACGGTGACCTGTCCTTCACACATCCCTCAGCCAACGTTTGAAAATCCAAAAGAAGGGGATCAGGGTTCTCCAGCATGTGCCCCTGGAGATCTAAATGAGCGGACTCACAAGAGACAGGACTTGTGGGTTGTGGCACCCAGCTGTGGAATCCCTTTCCACCATCCTTCTACCTGATGCCAGGTGAAGACATCCAAAGGTGCCATGCTGTGGGCATAAAGGCAGCTGTGCCGGGATAAGAGCTCTTCTTTGGCCAATTTCCCCCTCCCGGCACTGACCTGATGCTGTTTCTGAGGGCCCCCTAATCCCCAGGAGCAGAATTTCAGGTGGCTCTGGGGAATGCAGTGGGAGGAGGTGTGTAGAGAAGTCCTACTCTGCAAGCTTTGCTGGCTCTCTGGACCCATCCTATATGGATTATTGCAAGTGGATCTCCCCTTTTTTTTAATGCACTCTCCTCCTTTTTAAAAAAATCATCACTTGGACACAGCACCTATCCCATGCAGAACATCATTTATTTATCTCTGCTGCAATTTTCTGCTTGTTTTGAACTAATCCTCTGGTTTCATATTGGTCGCTCTCTTTGTTTCTTACCTGTTGCTCTTTTAAGTGGTTTTCAACTCGTTCTTTGCCAAGATTTGAATACTTTAAGATGCTGTGCATCAATAATCTTTTCCTCCCTGGTATCTCTTTGCTTTTCTTTTATTTCCAAGATGAATTGAGAGCCACTTTGGGTTGAGACATGTGCAGGGTTTCAAGCTTGAATATGAAATGAATTGATGCCCTGTTAGGTAGATAGAGTTGCCAGGCTCCTGGTGGGGCCTGGAGGTTTCCCGGAATTACAGCTGATGTCTTTATGACAGAGTTCTCTCGGAGGAAGTGGCAGCTTTGGAAGGTGGGGCTCTCTGGCGTCACATCCCGACTGGGCTCTCTCCTCTCCCCGGGCTCCGCCCCCAAATCTTCAGGAATTTTCCAACCTGAAGTCAAGCTGAATTGGAGTGAGGAGAAATGTTAAAGCAGGATAGAAAGCGTAGAAGGTAAAAAGACCAGCCCATGTATAATGGTAGACCGTTACCCAGGGCTTTTTTTGTAGGAAAAGCCCAGCAGGAACTCATTAGCATAATAGGCCACACCCAACAGCAGAAACTCATTAGCATATCCAGCCACACCCATGAGAGCATAGCTCATCAGCATATTAGGCTGCACCCCCATGTTACCAGAAGTGTGGTTATCCAGCCACACCCACCTTTTGCTTCTTATTCTGTTTACCTTGTTTGTTGTCAAAACCCAGGGCCTTTTTTTTGTAGCAGGAACTCCTTTGCATGTTAGGCCACACACCCCTTATGTAGCCAATCCTAATGAGTTTCTGGTGTTGGGTGTGGCCTATTATGCTAATGAGTTCCTGCTGGGCGTGGTCAACTTGGGAGCCAGCCGGAACTCCGTTCCTGTGCGTTCCTGCCCAAAAATAGCCCTGCCGTTACCCAAACAGGCTGACCTAGCAGTGAGTTGCCGCATGGCTCATTCTGCGCCGGCTCATTCCACCAGCTTCCTTCCTCAGACTAACTTCTCAGCAGCACACGTCGTATTCTCCACATCATAATTGTGCGAGAAAGACCATTTTGATCTATCCCTTTTTTTTTAAAAAAAGACTGCATTTCCTCCACGGAGCTCAGGGAGGACTGAAGAGTCCTCCCTTCCTCCATTTCCCCCCACAGCAACCCCATGAGGTAGGTTAGGCTGAGAGCAAGAGTGGATGTTGGCCCAAGAGCGCCCAGTGAGCTTCATAGCAGATTTGGGGCTCTGATTCTGGGTCTCCCCAATGCCGGCACGACAGCTCAGCCATTCTCACCCACGTGCTTAAGGAGGGCTCACTCTTGGCTACTGTTCTTTCTCCCAGCTGAATTTAAGAATCCCGAGTGACTCATGCATACTTCTAGGTCTTGCATCAGCTTGTGCCACTGCTCCCCTGCAGGGAAATCCATGCATGTGCTTCTGTTGGGGGAGCAGCCTCTGTGTCGCTTGACGTGGCAGATATACCAGTTTTGCTTGCTGGATGTGCGCGTCACTTGCACGTCTTGTACCCTCTCCTTCCAGGAAACGCGTGAAGGTCTCTTGCAGCCCCTACCGGCTCCGCTGTTCTTCCCGTCTTCCCCACAGGCAGACCAAGATTTTTGCCACGGACTGAAGGCCTCCTGGGCACATGGCGGCATCCCTCCCTGGTCTCGTGGGAACGGCATTCCACACAGGACTCCTCCAGTTTCCCTCTGCCAGCAAAAGCCTCCCTGGCTGCAATTAGCTAATGCGTCGGAACTGCTTGCCTCTGCAGTTTGAGGGTAGCTTGCCCTGCGAGGCTGACTCCTTACACTTTTGTAATTGGGGCTGGGACGCAGCACCGCTGGTTTTTCTTTACGGGAAGCACATTGATCCCACTCAGATAATTACAGCTCCATTTAGAGGCTAGGCGGGCCGACCGCCTGCCAGCTTAATATGTTCTTAGCAGCGTTTAACAAGCCTCAGCCAGTCTTGCCTGCCAGCTGCCTTGCCTTCCCCCCTCCACGCCACATCTGCTCTTGAGGGATGGGGCTTTTGGCCTGCGTGCCTCTTCTGTGACAGAGAGTCTGGTGTTACTGTAGTCTCCTCTGTGGGAAGACGGAGCAGTGAACCCACTGGAGCTCCTTGGTGTTGCAGACTGGCCTTCCTCTCTGTTGTGTTGGACAGAGATTGGGCATTTTGGAACAGGCTTTGCAGATTAATTCCTCTTGGGGCACAGAGAC